TGGTTATGTGTGAAAGTCGATGCGGCCAGGCTTGTCTTCCCTGGAGAAGAGCTAGCAAGTGCTTCCCTAATGGGTTTGCCACCACGATAGAGGGAGCCGCACACACATTAAGACACGAAAGTATGAAAAAAAACAGTAAGCGGAACAAAGACTTGATAAGCAAAGAATGCCTCCATCCTAAAGTGGCTCACCTCATGGCTTGAAGAAGCTGAGGATGTCTAGAGGTATGGTGTTGGGTTTTACAGGGATGGGGTGGCAGTACCCCATATGCTTGCTTCATCCCTTATCCTGCTTTCCCATTAGCCCTATTCTTGCATCCCAGTTGGCTCTTATTCCAGCACAAAAGTTGGTCTCATGATCCACAGTTTGTGCACCTCATTATCATGTGGGCAGTGTCAGTCAATAGGCTATCTGGACATGAGCTCTGGAATGGATAATGTGAGGTAATTTGGGATGGTGGCGCAGTGGTTAGGAGTTGGTCTGTGATCCACAAGGTCACATGCTTCTTGGCAATGTGTTGAGTCACATGTCCTTTCAGAGTAGAGGCAAGAGAAAGGGAAGAATGGGCTTGGTGGCGGTCTCTCATTGGAATCTCCCTCTAAGGCCTCTCAGATTTCACCTGCCTCTTGATTCAAGGGTTCCAGATTTTCAAAATAACCTAGTTGTCAAAATTTACTTATAACTCTCCCCCAAGTACTCACAATCTTCCCATGGTCATTAACAGACATGCCTGCCAAAGAAGAAAGTTCAGTACTCTGTTAGAAGAGGCAGTTTTACTGAGTATTAATAGTTCAAACTGGGCAGCACTAAGTGAAATTACAATGTGCTCCAGTACATTTTTTAGGATGCTATTTTATATAAAACTATCAAGAAAATGCAATTGTTTCTGATTGGTTGACATTTAGAAGGCTTTATCTAATCAATCACCAAACTATTATGAGATTCTAGAAAGTTACTATCGAAAGCTCATAAAATAAGGGGAAGTTGGGGTGAAATCGGGAGGTAATAACAATGAGTGCAGACGAGCCAGTCAGGGTGCAGTGTAGTACCCGTAAAACATACAACTTTTCTCTAATTCTTTAATGCTTCCTCCCCCCCACTATCATGATCCCAATTCTACCTTACAAATCCGGCTAGACCAGAGCATGTACACGGGTACAGATAAGAGCTGGAAACAGAGGAATTCCAGCACAGATAAACCCCTCAGGACTAATAACGAGAGTAGCAATACCAGGAGGGGGAGGAGAAGGTAGGGGAGAAAAGGGAAAACAATCACAATGATCTACATATAACCCCCTCCCTGGGGGATGGACAACAGGAAAGTGGGTAAAGGGAGACATCGGTCAGTGTAAGGCATGAAAAAACAACAATTTATAAATTATCAAGGGTTTGTGAGAGAGGAAGGGTGGGGGGAGGAGGGGAAATGAGAAGCTGATTCCAAGGGCTCAAGTAGAAAGAAAATGTTTAGAAAATGAGGGCAACAAATGTACAAATGTGCTTGACACAATGGATGTACATATGGATTGTGGTAAGTGGTGTATGAGCCTCCAATAAAATGATTTTTAAAATAATAATGAGCACAAGAAAGAAGAAAATATTCTAAAATGTTATCATGGCAATGAGTTCTCAACCCTTTATAAAATGTATAAACAATTGAACTGTATGTTATGTAAATTACATGTCAATAAAACTGTTAAAATATTTAAAATCTTAAGAAAAAAAAAGAACGCTCATAAAACAATTCAAAATAATTCGTTTGCCACAAAACAGCTAATCTGTGGCCATCTCAGGGTTAGCCCTGCAAAACCAGGTGTCAGCAGTTTTCTGAGACCATTTTACACAGGTGCTTTGTCATGAACTTCCTAGCCTGCAGCTTAATCAAATACTTTCCGAGAGTAGTCACATTCTTGGGAACTCCCTTCACGGGCAGCACAAGTTAACTTGTGAGAGTCAGCTCCACATGCCTCTGTATTTAAGGGTTTTACAGTGAACACAACTATTTCCTCTAACGATGTTAAGGGTGTCACCCTCACCCTGAACTCAAACTTTGGTGGCACTGGACTACGGACAAACAACAGAGAATTGAGACTGAGAATACAGCTCTGGGCTTGGGCTCTTGAGCTTTGTCTAGTGAGCAGGCAGGAGGCAGAGGTGCAGACTGTGGGGACTGTGGTGCCAGCCTGCTCTGGCTGCTCAGGCCGGTGGGAGATTAGACAGGGCTGGGCACATTTCCCTTCCTCGTGGATTCCCCTCTGCCCTTTTAGCAGCCGCTGCCACGCCGCCCCTCTGGCCTCCACCAGCATCTCCATCAGCAGCAGGGACAAGGACAAATGGAAGCAGACTCCCGTAAGATTTTTAATATGGTGTGTGCACAATGTTCAAATCTGAGAACATTCTATTTCACAAAACAGATGTTCAGCAACACAGACTTGTATAGTCTCCTAAGGCAATATTTGGCAGATTCTGAAATTCTACATTTTGGTCACCAAAGGCCTCTTTAACTTATAAAGCTTATTCATTCAATTCAGAGTTCTATAAAGTTTGGCCACTTCAGGTTTCACTGTCCCATTAGATCATAAGGCCTGAGGATTGGGGATCAGGGCAATGAGACCCCTGAAGATAAGAAAACTTGGACATCTCTCAAATAACATGTCCCGTGAAGGGAGTTCCCCGCTTGCCACAGATGGTCTTTGATGCCCCCTGAGCAAGGATGGCGTTTTCAGTTTTGCAGCTACAAAGGTCACATCTATAGGTTGGCACAGGAAACCTCAAACCAGCGTGAGAATGTACAGGTAGTTACTATTACCTATTGCTAGGCGTTCCAAGGTGGGAGCTGGGTAGAATGCAGGTATCATTCTAGCACAGGCCCACGGGCAAAGGGCATTTTCCTCGTGAGGACTGAAATGTTTCCCTGGCTGTGGCAAAGGCAAATGAAGCAGTGGAAGCAACACACCCAGGGGCTTCAGGAAGTTGCCCCTGCCATTACCCTACATCATGAAAATGGGAGCTGCATCATGAAGACATGTAACTTTTGATAAGGCTTGACTCTGGGTTAGGCTCTGTTCATGATCTAGTCGCAGGATCTTGAAAGCATCCTGATCCTCTCTGGACACCTGCAGACATCTTCCTCCACGTCCACCAATTGCTGGCGTGGTAGAAGTGGTTCGGCAGCTAAGTTTGGGCTGCTTTACTTAGCGTGGGGCAATGCTGATTTAGTCAGCAGCAGCGTTCCCTCATATTCCCTCTGTCTGAGGTACTCCTTTTGGTGGGAGAGTACTTGAAATTGTATTCCTACAACAATTTCAGAGGGGAGAAGAGCCTCTAAGAGCTCCCCAACTAAAGTTCCTTGCAGGAATTGAAAATCCAGTTTCCATTACAACCTAGCCATGTATGACACCACGACAGTATTGAACATCATTGCAGATGCTGGCAGGCCTTCCTGAAGCTGACTGGGAGGCTCTGGCAAGAAGTCAACTCGACTAGCTAAGCCGAGACAGCCCCGTTAAAGAAGCTGGCTTTCAAGGACCTCAGTAAAGGTTGTGATGGCAAATCTAGCCTGTTAACGAGAGGAAAGAGGATACATTTGAAGTAAAATCCATCTGCCATCAAAATTAATTTGGGATTAGAGAAAATGTTTCTTAGGTCTCTTTTGAGTCAATATTTGTCAAATCCTGGCTGTTGTGCACAGTGTCTTTCAATAGCAGCATTGGGGAGAAGGGCGGTGGTAGCTTTTAAGCAAGTGGTAGAATTCAATCGAACATTTGATGTGGTCAGAAGGAGGACTTCATAGAGAGTAAACTAACTAGTGGAGCGGTATTGAGTCAAAGCATAATTTGCTATGGCAGATACAGTATGGGCAGTCCATGTCGCGTTTCCTAGTACTACATCCATGACATTCTCTACTAATTTTGCAGTGGATAAAACAGCTTTCAGGCAAGAGTCAAGCTGTAGGTTGTGGTGGCCTACAGGTCATTGGTACCGTCCCCATTTCCAGGGCAGAACACTTGAAATATTTCCAGAAATGTCACTTAGAGCAAAGTACAGGTATGTTTGTTAAAGCTTCTTTAACAATATAATTATAGCTTCGTGATCCTCTTGTGTAAGCTTTAAGGAATCTTGTCAGGTAGCTTTCCAATATTGAGAGGGGGGCTAGGCCAACAAGGAGAAATTAGGAATCCAAATCCTGTAGTAATCACAAAGCCTGGAAACTCATGTCATTTTCTCTTAGCTCTGGGGACAAGGAAAATTTTAAAGATGGCTTCCTTTCATTTGGGGCCAATACAAATACATCTGCAGAAATCATGTGGCACAGAGGCTGGGACAATTGAAGATTTGTTTGAAATTTTATGTCCATTAGCGGTTGTTTCTTTCTTTAATACAAGCCTGGTGGGGAGTAGAACATACCAGCAAATCATGACCAAGGCCTAATGCTCAGGGAGCCTGCCCTGATCATCTTCTCTAGGCAGCTCCTCAACTATCACCTCATTCCACTTTGGCTTGTCCCCAACACAGATTTCCAATTGAAATGATCTTGTCCATTTATATGTGAACTTACTGGACTAAGTCAATCAACCATGAGAACTGCATAGCTTTAAAATGCTGTCAGTGGAGACTTGGAGAGACTACTCAAGAGAGTGGCATTGTTCATATGCTTACTCGTCCAGCCCAGCAACTAATTTACTCCACTTTCAAGTCCAGCACCTGGACAACTCCGCCTAGTCACCTTCAAGCTACAGGTGAAAACCAAATCACCCCAGCCAGAATCCAACAACCATAACCAAAACTCATGGAGCAGCACACCATGTAACCAGTCCATAGAAACTATTTTTTGCCTTAGATGCTTTGAAGTAATTATTAAGAAATAAGTAGAAATGAACATCGCCCTCTCCCAACTCTTTAAAACTTTCATTTTAGAAATACAGTCAGATATAACACTTTAGTCACCTTTTAAATTTATTTAAAAAAATTTTTTTTCTTTTTTTAAAATGTTTTTAGTCACCTTTAATAGATGTGTGAACAAACACTGGAGATGACATTAAATGCATCAATAACGTAGTAAGGTCATAACATGGCTCTGAGGCTCTGGAGCTGGTTGACAGAATTGGGAAGGGACTGGTTTCTGCCAGGAAAAGGAGAGGGTCAGGAAGAGAAGAAAGAAGTCTAACAGGTGAACCCAAGCCCAGGATTCAGAAGTGCAGCAGAGTCTAGAGTTGGCCTTAAGGTTCAAGTTCCAGCAGCCTCAATGGTACGCAGTTAACAGGGGCACAAGTGTTCGGTGTATGTAACATCCGTTGATGGTGCAGGTTGGCAGTATCCACAGAAATTCAGGGTGGAGAAGGGAGAACAGAGTATGAAGGACCTGACCTGGAAAATCCCACAGACCCAGCACGGTCCAGGGGCATCCCCCGCAGGGCTCTGTCATGTACAACCAGTGTCCTGCAAATTTAGTGTCCCAAAGTTCTGAGATGTCAACGTCTCAGCAAGGGACCACCCTAGAAGAGCAGCAGGGTACAAAGGCATGCCCTGCAGCTAACGGAGAGGGGCGTAGCACCCAGAAGCTTTAGCAGGATGCAGAGGTCCGGGTCTCAGCTGTGCGGGGCTGTCCATCAGAGGTACACCCCCACATAGAGGCTTAGCCTTGGGCACCGGTGCTGTGCATGCTCTGCCCACCGAAAGGCGCCTCTTAGCAGAGGCTTGAAGCGTCGGCTCCTTGACCTCAGATTTCCGAGGACGACCCCGACCCCTTCTGACCTGTGAAGACCTGAGATGATGGGTAGATGGATCCGGGGTCGATGGCAGGGTAAGACCTGGCTCCTTCTTAAAGGAACTTTGAGAGGTAGCTGCTGCCACAGGCGTAGAGCGCGCGAAGGCTCGACGGCTGGGACCCCTGCCCACAGCCAGAGTGCGAGGGCAGCGCGGCACCCTGCAAGGCCGGAGGAGCCGCAGGCCCAGCTTGGCTCGACCAGGGGAACGGACCTCCTTCCAGGCTCGCAGCCCCGGGCTGCTGGGCGCCATAGGCTTGGCGTGGTCCACGACGGCCCGGTCCCGGCCCTGCTTCCACAGCTCGTAGCGCTCGGGTTGCAGGATGCGCACAAAGACGTCCATGGAAAACGAGACCCTGGCCTCCCCACAGCTGCACTGCGAGGCCGCTTTGCCGTAATCCACCCAGCGCGGGGTGGCGAAGTTGATGGCCTCGGCGCAGTTGAAGCCGTGGTTGAAGCCCGCATGGTAGCCATAGGGGAAAGTCACCATGAACTCCCCAGGCTCCTGGGTGACCCGCCCAAAAGGGATGCCATTCTCCCTGAGCACGGTGGGCGAAATGAGTGCCACCTTGTGCCGAAGGAAGGCCGCACAGCTCCGCGAACTGCCCGGGAAAAGCTGCCTGGCCAGGCGCTCCAGGCGGCCTCCGTGCTCCGGGGGCACCGCGTACCACGTTTTGGGCTCCCCGAAGTGCA